CTGACATCATTTATAACTAGGCAATAGCATAGAAAAATTAACACTTCCCCCAATCTGCGCCTCAGTGCCAGAAATATGAGATCCAGGTGTCAGCTGTTACAGACTTGAGGCTCCACCTGGGATTGCTAGAAAATGATGGGCATAAAAGTACTTAGCACAGAACACAGCAGGCTCTCCATAACTATTAGTTTCTCTTCCCACCTTCCATCCACCCTTACTAACTCACCTGGTTGTAATTAAGTCTTATTCCCTTAAAAATTCAGAAGGAAATATACACATGAACAGACTACATCTTAAAATACACACACATATGTAGAGCCCAACTCTTTACACTGTCTTTTCAGATTCCTACACCTATAAACTGTATTACTGTTAGCTCAAATACCTATCTGCCTGTGGGTCATTGTTGTGGGACTGTGTACTCTCTGTATATCATCATGTCCCCTTCATGGTTATCCCCCATATTCAGCCTAGCAGACATGCACAAATCATTATAAGGACTCCAAGTGTTATGATTTGCAAAGAGATCATTTATCCTGAAGTACAATCAAGTGCTACTTCCAAAAGTGAGCAATACAAAAATGGAATGCCCTACAGGATGAATATATAGGAGAGTAATTTTATGTGACTTTGCTATAACAGAAAAAGTATGTAACCTAACCTCTCAATCTCGTAGTCTTGTTATCCTGTTTATTTTTCTTACTACTTCTATCTCCTTAACCATGGATGATTGATTAAAACCACACATACATTCTACTTTATAAGTATTACCTTATTTGTCATTAACATTTTCAATGCATTTCATTGATAAAAAGAACCAAAATATTAAAACTTCACTGCTTAGGGAAACTACCAGTGTTCTTATTGAGTCTTCTTGTGGCCATTATACATCTCATATAAAATATCTCATTCATTCACTCAACAAATACTTATTGAATAGTTAACATGCACCAGGTACTACTACTGTACCCACCAAATATTGAAGTTACAAGAATTAATAAGAAATACATGGTCTCTGCTCTCATAGAAATTACACCCCAGTAAGGACAACTGAAGAACTAAGCAAGTTAAAATTATTCTTAAAGTCTCTAAAAAGATGAAGAGTGTATTATGGTGAAAATTGATAATATAAGCTAAGAAGACTATTAAAAGGAAGGCCTGAGGTAATCAAGACAGAACAACTCCTGAGGTGACCCAGGGACCAACACTTGAAGTTCAAAGAAAATCAATATGCAAAGGGTTTAAGAACACTTAGACAATGGGAAAAGCTGGTAAACTCTGCCTTAGAAAACATTATGGACTTGGGACTGGCACTGTGGCATAGCCGGTGAAGAAATATGGGCGCTGGTTCAAGACCTGGCTGCTCCACTTCTGATCCAGCTCTCTGCTATGGCCTGGGAAAGCAGTGGAAGATGGCCCAAGTCCTTGGGCCCCTGAACTCACGTGGGAGACCCAGAGGAAGCTCCTGGTTTTGGATTAGCATAGATCTGGCTGTTGCAGCCAACTGTGGAGTGAACCAGCGAATGGAAGACCTCTCCCCCATCCCTTCTCTCTCTCTCTCTCTCTCTCTGTGTGTGTGTGTGTGTGTAACTCTGACTTTCAAATAAATAAATCTTTATTTAAAAAAAAAAACATTATGGACTGGGGCTGGTGCTATTGCACAGTGAGTTAAGCCACCATCTTGCAGCACCAGCATCCATAATGGGTGCCGGTTCAAGTCCCTGCTAATGCATCTGGGAAAGCAGCAGAATGGCCCAAATGCTTGGGCCTCTGTGCCCATGTGGAAGACCTGGATGAAGCTCCTGGTTTCACCTGGCACAGCCTTGGTCACTGAGACCATCTAAAGAGTGAACCAACAGATGAGAGATCTCTGTCTTCCCCTCTCTCTAATTATGACACTCAAGTAACTAACTAAATAAATCTTTTTTGAAAAATAAAACATTACAGACCTTAACAATAGCCTTGAGGAAGAAAGGCTACATGGGTTCAGACATGATCACATTTCTGGTTCCCTAAGCTTCCCTTCTATCAGCCCTGATGTGCAGTGTGGGAACACACCTTGCTGTCTTGTCTCGGGTACATTCTCACACTATCTGAGTTGCCATCCCCAGTGCAGCAATGCTACGTCCATCAAGACTTATCCTTAGTGTTTAATTTCAGTGTAGGTAAAGAACTTGGCAATGGGTAAGAACCCAAAATAGTCATGTAGACGGTGCAATCTACAACAAAATCAGAATACATGTCAGCGTGGTTGTTGTCAAGCTGGGCAAAGACAGATTTCATTCAGAAGCTCTCTCGCGTGTGGCTTAGAGAGGAGGACTCTCTCCCACTTACCAAATTTCATTTTCTAACATGCTGAGTGAGACTGTTCAAGATTTTATTTAAAGAAAGGGTTTGGAGAACACAGATGACTTTAAAACTATGCTTCCCAGGCTCTTCTAGGACTCACCTAAATCAGATTCTGCCAAATATGGTGAACAGATGTTCGCACATTATCTTGAGTTCCTCCTGGCTACCTCCTGTTTTTCTATCCAATAATCCTAAATCTTTCTCAATACATACCATGATTTGACTTTATACCTTACATCTAACTCTCTGTTTAGCAAATAAATATACATCTTTAGATGAGTCAGCTTCTTAAAAGTAAAGGCTTTCAATTCAAATCTATAGATCATTATATGTTAAAGTTAGCCCAAGCCAGAACACACATTTGTCAACATGTTAATTCAAAGTAAATTATGGATTTTCCCTTTATATAAATTTTAAAAAGTAAAAAAAAAAATGACTGATCTTTGGAGGGGGAAAAACTTTTGAAAATATTTAAAAGTGAGTTTATCAATTTTCAAAATAAGTATTTGCAGACATTCACAGTAATCCAAAACACAAAGTAAATCAAAAGAAATAGTATAGTCTCTTATGGTGCCCCTCTCTTTTGATGGAATCTATCTCCCTTTCATCAAAAGATAAAAAAATTCCGGGAGAAAAAATAAAACATTTAGGGTTGAGAGAAAAAAGATACAAGAACTGAATGAAATTGAAAGACTAGGATAGTTGCAAGTAAGGTTTTTAAAAAACAAAAGTTCATCTTTCAAGCTTCCTGCTACCTCTAAAATTACTCATTCATATTCTCACACAGATATTGTTGCATTTCATGTCAGCAGTCTATGGAAAGAATATTCTATAAAAGGTATCCCTGGTTCTAATGAAGTTTCTGAATGGTTTCAGTGTATTCCAAGCCCAGATGGACTGCTCCCTACTTATTGGCAGGTGGCATTGTTCATTTTCAGGTCTTCCATTTCATGTAAAGCTAAATTAGTTACTAGAACACCAAGTAAATAAAGGTCTCATTGTAACTGTCATGTATGCACAGGTACCCCAAGGAAGATACTCACGTTGCTTTAGACACATTGGAGATGCACACTTAATATTTTGGTCAAATTTATTTACCTGTTATGAGTTCATTTCTACTATGCAATTTCCAATAAGAAGCATGAAATTAAAATCACCCAAATAACATTCTAGCTTATAATCAGTGCAATAAAAGAGTAGAATTGAAGTGAGTCAGGGTACCACCACTTCAAAATTCGTGGAAACCTCAGGGTCACAAATCAAGAGGATTCACATATGCAGAAAACAAGAAAAGTATCTGTTATTTATTCCAAAATAGCACATTTCAGCACTAATAATCAAACCAATCCCTATTTGGGTTATGGAGAACAAAAATAATGTATTGACCTATTTGCATATGAGCAACTCAGGGAAGTCTTTATGTAAATCTTTGTGCTCCTGACATTTTTCTACACCTAAAATCATTCAATCATTCATTGGTTTTCCTTGGTCTCTTGATAGAGTAATTTATAAATGCAGGATACAAGAAGATGGTGCTTTGGATTTACCTGGAAAGAAAAAATTCTATTAAAAAAAAAAAACTGCAAATGCAAGATGGAAATTTTCCATTTACAATCATTCCTCAGAGCAGAAACAATGTTCACTTTACATTTTAGGACTTAATAATAAATTTCATTCTGACATTTCAAGTCAAATCTGCTGCTCCACTGGGGCTCCAAAGATATGAGTAGTGAGCTCTTCTGGGACCAGTTTGGAGAAGGAGATCCCAGGAGAATTAACAGAAGTTTACAATCACAAATTCCCGGGATACATAATCACACCTTAGTTGAAGTCTGTAGGCATAATATTTTTGCAGGCCAGAAAGCAAACAACATTAAGAGGCAAAAATGAACTCTTCTGAATCTACTTAAATCTTGGTTCCTATTCCAACCCCAGTAAAAAGCCTTCAGCTTAGGTTGAGGTACAACTGGAAGGCCCCACACATTTTTACCTAGCCCCTCTTCTCTAGGGGGATAAGGTCATGGTGTCTCCTAACATAACATTTTTGTGTTTATAAAATCCTCTTTCCTGAGTTGTCCCTTGCAATTCTTCATCAAAAAAGCAAACTCACTTTACTTATTCTATAATAATTGTTCTAATTAGAATTCCATCTGTATTCATCTTCTGTAAAATCAAATATAAATGAGACCACATTTTGTAATCATTGTTTTGTAGATGCACAAGAGGTATTGTAAAATACTCAGAAGAAAAATAAACACTGGTTCTTAAGAATTATTAAAACAGAAATAGGTCACAATGCACAAATGAGGATACTGAAATAAACGTGTATATCACCTTCATATCACTGTATGAATATATTACTTGAGAAGTCATATAAAGTAATCTTAAAGGATTAGAATTTTTAATCCTTCTCTGTCATTTCTATAATTAGAAGCTGAATGCAGTCATTTCTTTTTTTTTTTTTGACTTCATTAATGTTACATTTAACTTTTTTTTCCAGTTTTTTTTTTTTATTTAATAAATGTGAATTTACAAAGTGCAACTTTGGTATTGTTGTGGCTTCCCCCCCCCAACCTCCCTCCCTCCCGTGGCCCTCCCCTCCCCCACTCCCTCTCCCATCCCACCCTTCATAGAGTTTCATTTTCAATTACCTTCATATACAGAAGATCAACTTAGTATGTACTAAGCAAGGATTTCAACAGGCTGCCCTCACACAACCGCACAAGGTATAGGGCATTGTTCAACTAGTAGTGTTGTTTTTAAGTTTCATACTAAAACACATTAAGGACAGAGATCCTACACGGAGACCATGTACCCAGTGACTCCCATTGTTGATTTAACAATTGGCACTCTTATTTATGACATCAGCAATCACCCGAGACTCTTGCTATGAGCTGTCTAGGCTATGGAAGCCCCTTGAGTTCACTAACTCTGAACTTGTTTAGTCAAGGCCGTATCACAGTGGAGGTTCCTTCCTCCCTTCAGAAAAAGGCGCCTCCCTTCTTGATGGCCTGTTCCTTCTGCTGGGGTCTTGTTTACCAGGATCTTTCATTTAGGTTGTTTTTTGCCACCGTGTCATGGTTTTCCATGCCTGTGAGACTCTCATGGACCTTTTAGCCAGATCCGAATGTCCCAAGGGTTGATTCTGAGGCAGGAGTGCTGTTTTGGGCATTTGCCATTCTATGAGTCTGCTCTGTGTCCTGCATCCCCTGCAGGATCATTCTCTCCCTTTTAATTCTATCCTTCATTATTTGCTTACACTGGTCTTATTTGTGAAATCTCTTCGACACTTACCCTATCTTTTTGATCGGTTGTGTATTTATACTTATCACTTTACCAAGTGCACTGGCATTGGTACCTGCCTCCTTGGTAAGATTGAATTGAAATCCCCTAGCACATTTCTAGTTCCACCATTGGAGGTAAGTCCGAGTGAGCATGTGCCGACCTATATATCTCCTCCCTCTCTTATTCCCACTCCTATGTTTAACAGAGATCACTTTTCTGTTCATTTTAAACACCTAAGAATGATTGTGCATTGATTACAGAGTGAATGCAGTCATTTGAAGTCAACAGTTTTTCTGGTGCAGTTTATTATAATAATATCTCACTCTATAATCAGTATAGGTGCAAATAGTCCTTTGCTTTTCCATTCATTTAAAAGAATGCCGATTCTTTTAAAGGCAATCTTAGACATTAAAATGCAAAATAGAAGACTGCAGTATAACAACAGGATGTTCGAGCCCATGGGAAAAAATAGGTAGTTAGTAAATAGAAGGGATACAAGCTGGTGACGGAATCATGAAGTTCGCACAGCGTGGCCTAGGAGTCCACCAGAGACTGCTCAGGTCCATGCCAAGGCAGCAAAGAGGAAGTAGACATGGTGGAGGCCCTTGCAGTGGGGACACCTAATGAGGAGATTGGCGCCACCCCACCCCCAACCCAATGAAACAGGTGAGGGTCACAAGCCCACAGAGCTGCCTATAGCAGCGGGCGGGGGAAGCTTGGTGAACTGCATTGGAAGCTCCAAGTGGGAAGAAGGAGAAATTATAGGGGAACAAACAGGGAAGTTGGGCACCCACAGTCCATCTATGTCCTCCCTCCTTTCCCCCACGTAGTCCTACAGCCATTGGGGAGAAGCCATATTGATTATTTACATTTTCAAGTGTAAGCAGGGGGCTGCTGCATTTGCTTCCCACGACACACCCATCAATTGCAGGGGTCACCTCACAACACCTCCAGCCTGGGAATGGGGATCACATTGCAGAATGATTTTCTCCCCAGCACAAAGCTGTACAAGGAATAGTCCTAAACAGTGAAAACCTGAGCTCCTTTCACACACCAGTGAGAAGAAGACCAGCCCCAGAAGGCGGGCCTTAGTGCCCTGGTAGCCGCCTCCATTATGATCTAGAAGTAGACAGGGCTCCAGGAGGCAGGGCTGAGTGCTTCCACTTGCAAGGCACAGACACATAGCAACTCAGAGCAGAGGGAAATTGCATCACAGGCACCAAGTCACTATTTAATGATAAAATCACCCAGAAATGCCAAAGAACAAAGGAAAAATCCTGAATAAGAATAAGGAAGATTCTATGAACTCTCCAAAGGAACAATCAATTCTTCTATAATGGAGGCTGAAGAAGAAGAGATTAAGGATACGCCAGAAAAGGAATTCAGAAAATTAATAGTCAGGTAACTTAGAAGCAATCAAAAACAAATTCATAATCTAAATGAAAAGTGCTCCCAAGAAATTGAGATTTTAAAGAGAAGTCAGAATGAAATACTGGAAATTGGCCAGTGCCACGGCTCACTAGGCTAATCCTCCACCTGTGGCACTGGCACTCCGGGTTCTAGACCCGGTTGGCATGCTGGATTCTGTCCCAGTTGCTCCCCTTCCAGTCCAACTCTCTGCTGTGGCTCATGAAGGCAGTGGAGGATGGCCCAAATGCTTGGGCCCAAATGCTTGGGCCCTGCACCTGATGGGAGACCAGGAGGAAGCACCTGGCTCCTGGCTTCAGATTGGCACAGCACACCAGCCATAGCGGCCATTTGGGGAGTGAACCAGTGGAAGGAAGACCTTTCTCTCCGTCTCTCTCTCTCACTGTCTAACTCTGCCTGTCAAAAAAAAATGCAGTGGAAATCTTAGCAATAGAATAGATGAGACAGAAGAAAGAATATCAGAACTAGAAGACAAATTTCCAGATATAATGCAGTCAGACCAAATACAAATAGAACAAATTAGAAAATTAAAAATCACAGTTGGAGTTTTACAAGATTCTATCAAATGTCCCAAATTACCTATCCTAGGAATTTCAGAAGGTGTGGAAAAAGATAAAGGATTATAAGGCATTCTTAATGAAATAATAACAGAGAACTTACCCAACCTGGAAAAACAAAGAGACATCCAAGTACAAGCAGTACACAGAACTCCCAATAGACAAGACCAGAAAAGAACTTCACATGACACATTGTAGCAAAACACCTCAGTGAAACACCAACAACAGATCTTAAAATGTGCAGGATAGAAACAACAAATCACATTCAAAGGAAACCCAATTAGACTCACTCCAGACTTCTCATGGCAAACCCTACAGGAAAGGAGACAATGAGAAGACATATTCCAAGTCCTAAGGAAAAAAAAAAAAAACTGTCAACCCAGAATACTGTATCCTGGAAAATTCTCATTTATGAATGAAGGAGAAATAAGGATCTTCTACAACAAGCAGAAATTAAAAGAATTTGTAACTACTTGCCCAGCCCTACAAAACATGCCCAAGGATGTACTACACGCAGAAACAGGACCATCACTACAAAGGAAGATGAACACAGAAAATGACCCCCCAAAAGTAAAAATGAAATCCAAAACATATAAACAGGACTATTTAAGGGAACATGGCAGGGTCAAGATAGTATTTAACAGTAGTCACACTGAATGTAAATAGTCTCAACTTCCCAGTTACAAGACACAGACTGGCTAAATAGATCAAAAAAGAAAACTCATCTATTTGCTGCCTACAAGAAACACATCTTACCAAAAAAGACACGTACAGATCGAAACTGAAAGGATGGAAAAAGATAATCATGCTAACAGAAACCAAAAAGAGCTGGTGTGGTTATCCTATTATCAGACAAAATAGACTTTAACACAAAAACTATAAAAAGAGACAAAGAAGGAAGCTATATAATGATTAACAGATCAAGTCAACAGGAAGATGTGACTATTATAAATGTGTATGCACCTAATTACAGGGCCCCTGGCTATTTAAAAGAATTGTTAAGGGATTTAAAGGGAGATATAGACTCAAATACAATAGTAACAGGAGACAATAAAACCCCACTTTCAGCAATGTAAAGATCAACCAGCCAGAAAAATCAACAAGGAAACAACAGTTAATAGACACCACAGACCAAATAAACCTAGCAGATATCTACAGAACCTTCCACCCTACAGCCACAAGTACACAGTTTTTCTCCAGTGCATGGAACTTACTCTAGGATTGACTACATGTTAGGCCATAACATGAGTCACAGCAAATTCAAAAAAATTGAAATTATACCATGTATTTTCAAAGACCACAATGTAATGAAGCTGGAATAAACAACTCAAGAATCTCTACATCATATGCAAACACATGGAGAATGACCAACATGTTTCTGAATGAACAGTGGGTCATAGAAGAAATCAAAAAAGAAATCGAAAAATTTCTGGAAACAAATGAAGAAAAAAACCACAACATATTAAATTTTGTGTGATACAGCAAAAGCAATGTTATGAGGAACATTTATAGCAATTGGTGCCTACATCAAGAAACTAGAAAGGCACCAAATAAATGAACTATCTGTGCACCTCAAGGATCTAGAAAAACAGCAAGCCAAACCCAAAACTAGTAGAAGAAAAGGAATAATGCAAATTGGAGAAGAAATCACAAATATGAAACCAAAAAACACAATACAAAAAATCAGCAAAAGAAAGAGCTGGTTTTTGGAAAAAATAAATAAAATCAACACACCATTAGCCCAACTAACCAAAAAAAAAAGAGATCCAAATCAATAAAATTAGATATGAAAAAGGAAATATAACAACAGATGCTACAGAAATAAAAAGAATCATCAAAGAGCCGTATGCCAACAAACTGGAAAACCTAGAAGAAATGGATAGATCACTATACACATACAACCTAGCTAAACTGAACCATGAAGACACAGAAAACCTAAACAGACCCATAACAAAGACAGAAATTGAATTAGTAATAAAGACTCTCACAACAAAGAAGAATTTGGTAGAGTAGAAGGATATAAAGTCAACACAAAAAAAGAACAGTCTTTGTTAACTTAGACAATGCCACGGCTGATAAAGAACTTCTAAGATCAATCCCATTCACAACAGCTACAAAAACAATCAAACACCTTGGAATAAATTTAACCAAAGAGGTCAAGGATCTCTACAATGAGAATTACAAACATTAAAGAAAGAACTACAAGAAGATATCAAAAAATGGAAAAAAATCTCCCATGTTCATGGATTGGGATAATCCATATCATCAAAATGTTCATTCTTCCTAAAGCAATTTACGGATTCAATGTGATACCAATCAAAATACCAAAGACAGTCTTCTGAGATCTAAAAAAAAATGATGCTGAAATACACATGGAGACACAGGAGACCTCGAATAGCTAAAGCAATCTTGTACAACAAAAGCAAAAAATCATATTGTACCTGGTTCTGGCACAAAAATAGATGGATAGACCAATGGAACAGAATAGAAACACGAGAAATCAATCCAAATACCTATAACCAACTTATATTACACCAAGGAGCTAAAAACAATTCCTGGAGCAACGACAGTCTCTTCAACAAATGGTGCTGGGAAAACTGGATTTTGACATGC